TTTAAAGCATCTGGTAAGTAAATTAATTGTAGTTTACCAGTACTTCTACATAAAAATTAAAGCAAGTTTAAGACAAAAATGCCCTTTTGAAAGAAATGTCAACTTTTGAAATATACCATTTTCTTCCAAAAATATGTTCATTTACAATTTCTTGCTTGTTTCTTGTCATTCATTTCTATAATCTAATTTTTTTAAAAACCTCTTAAAATACCTATATGAAGGTTTTCAAAAATCAAGTAAGTTCAACATTAAAGATCACCTAGATCCCTGTCACCACATGCTGTGACAGCCCCACCCTGGGTACTCTGAGCTGGCCACCGGGCATAGTGGTGCACACCTGTAACCCCAAAACTGGGGACGCTGAAACAGCAGGGTTACTATGAGTCCAAGCTGTGTAATGAGAGCTTATACCAAATACATTTTTTTAAAAACCAAAAAGCACCTAAATCACTAGCCATTAGTTTATTTATCAAGCATCTAGATATAAATGCTACCTCAGAAATTATATTTGAACATTTAAGTCCTTTATAAACAAAAACTTGTATTTAAGAAAGAACTGGAAATTTTAGGTTGACTTCCAAACACTTAGTTTAATAATTTTTTAAAAGGGGATATTTTATGGGTCTTTTTTTAAAGTATGGAACTCAAAGAGATTAGCTGAAATTATACCAACTTTCCAGTGCAGAAAAGACAAATTAAGTCTCTGTTACAGTACTCTCTTATCATTGTCAATTAGCTAAAGAGGAGAAACCCCTTTTCCACCTTTTTATTATGGCAGTACCCTAGAAGATCTTCAGTGAGCGGGGAATGTGGAGCATGCCTATAACACTAGCACTTTGTAGAATGAGGCAATAGATGAGTTCAAGGCCAGCTAGACTACAAAGTGAATTCAAAACCAGTCCAAACTACATAGGGAGATGCTGTCTCAAAAGGACAAAACAAATAAACAAAAAAAAACTTAAGTGAAAACTGTTATTTTCTTCTTTAAACCAATCTTGTACATTTATATCTAGTAATCTAAACAACTAATTTAGAGATAATATCATGCAATACAGCAAGCATTGTTGAATTCCTATTACTCTGTGTAGTGAAATTTTGTATCATTTCTAATGCTGTTTTTTTCAATAACAATTTAAAAACCTTTTTTTTACAACTTCAACATTTCATATAATTTCTTTCTCCATGATTTTGATCATATTTCCTGTATTTACAATGTAAGAAGAGTCAAGAATACTCATCAACAAAAAAATTAATCAATATAAGGAAATGTATCACCTAGCATCTATGCCATCTTTACAGAAACTATAAGATAAAGAAGCATTATTGTTTTGTCAACCAAACATGAGCAGCAGAAAAACTGAAAAATAGTTTATTCAAAAATAACAAGGATTACAACCTGGGATGACATGGTGTGGCAGACCATAAGCACGTAGAAGGGATTATGACATGGGGAGAGGTATTGGGATCGAACTCACGACCTTGTGCTTGCCAGGCAGGCACTTAGGCTGCTGAGCTATCTCCCTGACAAGGGGAAGCTTTTAAAGCACGAAAGAGAAGTCCACATAGGCTATTTTTGAAGCAAAGACTCTAGATACAGGATTTAGCAAAGGTAGTGGTGCTTATTCTTTGTTAGTGCTGGCTGTTGTTCAGAGTCTTCATAGAAATGGAAAGTTCTTGCTGGGGAAGTTCTTTCTGGAAGTTCCTGTTGCAAGCAGATATGGAAGAGGGTCCTTCTTTGAGCTCCTTCACAGTTGGTTCCAGTGTGACGTGGCTCCATTTTACTGACAGCTTTCAGTCTCTGAATTTCAAATTCTACTACAACAGAAATCACTGTATATGATTTGAGCAAATGATTTTATCTCTCCAGGTATCAAGTGTCACGTGTAAAATATGATAAACGATTATAACTTTATAATAAGATTGTCAGAGAAATTAAATGAAATAATATAGATAAACTTTTAGCATAAAAATGGCTCCAAGTCTTCAGTAATTCCTTGTCATTTTAGTGGAAATAGTAATAATAGCTGCTTAATGTAACATCTCTGCCTTTCTGTACTTCGATCTTTTTCAGAGCAAGGTTTTTATATTGTTGATCTCTGCATCTTGTCTTACCTTACAGCTTGTCATGAAGTAGGTACTCAGCAAATAAGTATTGGATTGAATGAAAGAGGCAGTTTTTAAAAATGAAAGTTGTTTTCCAAGAGTAAACTTAAGCTCACAGAAGTTGCTCACAGGTTTCAAACAACTGCTCTACATCAGTCGCATAACTTACATCATTTTATGCAACTTTCTGAAAGACTCAAATGGGGTCCTGGAATTCAAACTCATTTCCAGCACTGAGCCCAAAACCCCCTCCACAAATCTCTTCTGCTTCTCTTAAAACATGTAAGAATTCTTCCTTGTCCAGGTACTAAGATGTATAACCACTGTAGTATTTTGGAAAATAAATATTTTTGAGTTATATGATGAATTAGGTTTAATCTACTTGTTAGCTCTCAAGGGAAACTGTAAATGCATACGGTACACCACTCTACTAGTTTCTGGGTGTTTAGAGGAAAAAAGGACAACAGGTAAGTGGATGTGAGTATGGAAAAAATAAATGAGTGTCTGAACAGGTACAAAAAGGGTAGGACAAGCAAGTGCTTTACAAATGAAAGCAGATGTATGAAATTAGAAGCTGTCAGATCAACAACACAAATGAAGATGATAAAGTGGTTCTTTACATAGATTATAATTATTCATTTTGCCCAGTCTTGTCTCACTTCTCTATATTGCTCAGGGGAACAAGGGGATATAAGAGTCAAGAGTATTTCTGATTACAAATAATTGTTTATGTTTTAATTTGCATTGGTTTTTTTTCATCAGTTTCCCCCCTGTGGAACATTTTTCAAGTAATTAGTGAAAAAGATTCAGTTATTATTACAGGAAGTTGTAACTGAAAGTTCCTTCAAAGTCAGTGTCATGAGCCCATCAGGGATGGCTCACAAACCAGGTAGCACTAATGGGCCCAGCTGTGACAGCAGTGGTAGATTGATTGCCAAGAAATAAAGTAGTTTACCTAGACCTGCTTAAAAAGATATGCTTGATAATTTCATTCATATTGGGTTGATCTGAAAAAAAATAAATGACAAAAGTCTATGAAACACATGCCAAAAAAAAAAGAAAAGCAACACATGCCTATTTATAAAGATTCTGACTTTTTTCCAAAAATTGCTCTTAGCTGTCTGCTTTCTAAATTCTTACAACATTTATTTTTTGATAATTTTATTGAGAAACAAATAGCAATGAGACAGTTTCAAAACCAATTAGTAGGATAGTTTATATAATTAATACATTGTGTATTTTGTGTTTTCAGTAATGGAAAGTATCTTAAGCAGTATTGTATCTGAATCATTTTTCCCTCTCATTTAGTGATCTCTAGCAACTACCAGACCTGTCTTGGCCTTCTGATGCATTACCCAGTCATCGGGGATGTTCACTCTCTGATACTTAAGGCTCTGTTTCTTAGAGACCCCAAGGTAAGCTTTTTCAATAATACATGCACAATACTAAGTTGAGTATGAATACATGATGTGGAATTTGCCTTATAACAGCAAGTTGTCTAATGACAGAATTTGTCAGAGTTGTAGACCCAAACATAGAAACCTCATTGGCCAGCAACTCAGCAAGAAAATTAAGTGAACATCATCATGAGAAAATGGAACACACATCTCATCTCTGAGAAGGTTGTTCTGCCCTCCTGTCTTCTTCATAATCAAGGAGAGTTAAGCTACCTACTCTTATAACCAAACTTTATCATCATTGTACCTCTCACTGAGAATGCTTTTATTCAAATATAGCCTCAGAGGCCGTGTGAAAATCAAAAAAGTACATCCATGTGAAGGACCAAGTCTGTAAGAGTTTATGATACAATGAAACATTAAATTATTTCATATTATGAACATGTATTTCTGTTTTTCAAATTGAAAAACACAAAGATTTAAAGACTTTTAACTGATTTTTTTTTATTTCAGCATAATAAAATTCATTGAAATTTTCTTTCCACTTAGAAAAAGTGTGCCTTTTTACAACTGTTATATTTCTTGAAAATAAGAACATTTAATGATATAAAAAATATCTGTGAATCCTTGCTTACTTTTGAGCCAAACAAAAATATTGGATGAAATATAAGAGAGAAAGCTTCAAATATCAATATCATTGTGCCAGGCACTGGATGGTAATCCCAGCCTTTGGCTCTTTGGCAACGTCCCAACATTCATGTTGGCAGTTGTCAGACTGTCTATGAGTCAGTCAGTCTCTCTGTGGGTTCTAGTGCCAAAGCTCTGTCTAATCAACAGTAATCTCCAACTTTAATAGAAATTTTGATTCTGAAGGATATCTTCCCTTTCCTAAGTTGCTGACTTCTTCCAATGAGTATGTCCTTTATTTATTCTTTGACTATTAAAAAATTCTCCTTTTGTCTATTATCCATTTTTCTGTAGAAATACAAACTTTTACATCATTTCTGTAACACAAAGTAATTTCATTAAGCATCAGAAGTATAATTTTCTCTGATATATATAAGGAAGCATTTTTTTGGAGTAAAAGGAGTAAAGTACCATGTTTATATTCTTATGTTCATGTGTGTATATATAAGTTGTGGTAGTATTTTTTACAAAAAAGGATGAGTTTCCTCTTTATAAGAGGAATAAAGATGATGTTTCTGGTAAGTGATGTGCGAGTTGTTGGGGATTTTGTTTGTTTTTTGATTTTTTTTCTTTTTCTTATTTATTTATTTATTTATTTTGTATCAGGGATTGAACTCAGAACCTTGTGCTTGCAAAACAGGCATGTATGCTCCTGAGCTATGTCCATTTCCTAATGTTAAGTTTTGATTTACAAAGTTAAGGCAAATTCTGTCAGCTCAGTATTAGGAATTCTATATAGAGTGGAAAAAATGTAAAACAGCAATTTGAAATCCTTACTTGTGTGATTTGTTTGATTTGATGGAGGAAGAAATAATGCATTATAAACCTACTGATCTTGTTAGTGTTTTCCCTATATGTTGATCTTCATATGAATCACTCATTCAGCTTCACAGTTCTTTGTCTTAAGTCCTTCAGTGTTTGTTAGTGGAATCTAACTGCGCTTTCACTTTTAGTGTGGTTTTCATAGAGTACTATTTATCTCAATAATGTCCATGATATAAGAATATAATGAAACAAATTCTACTAGCATTAAATACATATTTTTAAGGCTTAAGAGGAAAAAAATGGTAAAATTATTATCTAAAAAGGATAATGCCTGACCTTTATATTCCGTATCTTATCATGTAAAAATGTACTCAAGCTAATGGTGCAAATATGGGGCCTTACACTGATAATTTAGAGACTAAGGAACTGGGCAGGATGGAGGAGATGTATTCACAAGGCTCAGGACAACAAGTTCATGAAATGATGATACCAATAGTCCAAGTTAAGAAAGCTGTGCAGCCTTAGGGGTTTTCAAATGGCTAACCCAGGAAAGCAGGAGTGACATGTGTCTGTAATGGCTGACACATTGACATGATTTCATAAATTCCAAGTCCTAACTAATGTCATTTATCATAGGTTTTAATGTAGATTCATGGCAACGGTAGTGTTCCCCATGGAATCAGCAGTTAGAAATATAAATCAAGCCTTGCCTTAACCACCAGCCATCTTCATTATTTTGGGAAAATTACATTTGCTGAACCTTGATCTCTTTTTTTTGTAACATTTGGAAATTAAATGAAATTGTCTCTAATCCACCAAACCAGACCATTTTTTAATCTATAAAACACTAGCTTCTTTTTTCTTTTAATTAATTTTATTGGTACATTTTAGATATAAATAATGGTTGCATTTGTCTTAGGAAATGTGTATATCTATATATTTCCTGATACTTTTCACTCCAATTCCCTCCTCTGCCTTCAACCCAACTCTCCCACCTTATTTAAAAAGATATTGCCAGGCATAGTAACTCATGCTCTGTAATCCCAGCACTTGGGAGGCTAAAAAAAGAGGAGTGCTTTGTGGTTGAGGCCAGTCTGGGCTACAAAGTTAGTTAAAGGCTAGCCTGAACTACATATTGAGACCCTACCACAAAAAGCCAAAGAAAAGATTAGTTTCCGTCTTTTCTCTTTTCCCTCTTTCCCTTCCCCCTCCTTCTCTTACTCCCCTCCCATTTGAACATTTTTATTCCTATTTCACAACACTTATTACACATTTTGATTCTTAATTACCCTTTCGGTTTATCACACTGGAGAAACAATGCAATCTTTAAACCTATCTGTTCAATTTAGTTCACCTAAGAGTATGGTATCAAAAAAAAAAAAAAAAAGAGTATGGTATCAAGGTGCATTTACCCAGAAATGTCTCAAGTTTATCCTTTCTATCATAGTGTAGTACTCCATTATGTAAAAGAACCACATCATCTTATCCATTCATCCATTGATGGGCATTTGAACTGTTTCCAAGAATTAGCTGTTATAAATTGTGCTGCTATAAACATGGAGATAGATAGATACATAGACAGATAGATCACTGGTATAATTGGTTCTTTTCATTTGGGGGAAAAAAATACCTAAAAGGGAAATAGATGGGTCAAATGGAACCTCTAGTTGTATTGTTTTGAGGAATCTTTACACTGATTTCCACAGTGGTTTCACCAGTGTACACACCAGCAGTATGAAGGTTCCTTTTCCCCACAGCCTGCTAGCACTTATTATTGGTTGATTCCTTGATACTAGCTATTCTTTATAGAATGAGGCTGAACTTCAGTATTGGTTTAACTTTCATCTTGTGAATGACCAATGATGTTGAACTGTTTTCATATATTTATTTGCCACTTTCACATATTCATCTCAGAAGTGTATGTTCATTTCAGGTGCCCATTATTGGAGTAGATCTTTAAATTTAGGGGTGTTTTTTTTACCTTTTAATATATTCTAAATATTAGTCCTTTCTCTGAGAAACAGCTGGCAATTTTTTTTTCCTGTTCTGCAGGTTGTCTCTTCATTCTGTTGAGTTATTTGGCTATGCAAAAAATATTTCATAAAAATGAGATCCCAGTTGCTGATTCTTTGTAATATATCTTGAGTGATTAGGGTTTTTGTTTATAAAGTCTTTGTGTACAACAGTGTCTTCAAGAGCTCTGCCTATCCTATCATCCAGCAGATTTATTGTTTCTGTTTTAATATTTAGATCTTTGATCCATTTGAATTTAGTTTAGTGCATGGTGAGAGATAATGGGTCTAGGTTTAATCTTTGGCATGTGGAAAGCCAGTTTTCACAGTAGCAGTTACTAAAGAAGCTATTTTTCTTCCAATGAGGGTTTGTAATAACCTTCTTGGTACCTCTTTTTCATTCTTGGCTTGAAATTCACTTTGTCTGCAAATAGGATAACTACCCCTACTTTCTTCCAGGTTCCTATCCTGTGGAGTATTGTTTTCCACCCTTTGACTTTCAGTCTATGAATTTCTTTTTAGAGCTAAACATATTTCTTCTATGCAGCATTTTCTTAGCTCTTGCTTCTTTTTTAGGGATGGGTCTTGTTTCTTGATCCCTTTTGCCAATGTGTTTCTCTTAATTTGTGAATTAAGGACCGGAAATCGGAAACTTGGTTCTCTTTCCCATCTTGAAAGATGGCAGGTGAAAAAGTGAGAAGCCAGACACTAAAGAGAAGAAACCCAAAGCTCAGAAGGCTCCTGCCAGTGTTACTGGTAAAAAGAGTAAGGTGAAGAAGGCAAAAAAGTCCAAGAAGGGGCAGCCCCACTGCAGCCAAAATTCTGTCCTGGTTAGAGGAATTGGTGGATATTCCTGATCTGCTATGTATTCCAGAAAGGTTTTGTACAAGAGAAAGTACACAGTTGCTAAATCAAAGGCTGAGAAGAAAAAGAAGGAGAAAGTTCTTGCTACGATCACAAAACCAGTCAGTGGGGACAAGAGTGGAGGTACCCAGGTGGTTAAGCTTCGAAAAATGCCTAAATACTACTCTACTGAAGATGTACCCCGAAAGCTCTTGAGCCACCGCAAAAAACTCTTCAGTCAGCACATGAGGAAACTTCAAGCTAGCATCACTCTCAGCACCATCTTGATCATCCTTACTGGGCGTCACAGAGGCAAGAGAGTGGTCTTCCTGAAGCAATTGGCCAGTGGCTTCCTACTTGTGACTGGGCCTTTTAGCCTTAATCGTGTTCCTCTATGAAGAACACACCAGAAATTTGTCATTGCCACCTCTACAAAAATTGATATCAGCAAAGTGAAAATCCCCAAACACTTCACTGATGCTTACTTCAAGAAGAAGAATCTGTGGAAACACCAGGAGGGTGAGATCTTCATCTCCAAGAAAGAAAGATACCAGATTTCAGAGCAGCGCAGGGTAGATCAGAAAACAGTGGACTCACAGATTTCAGCAAAAATCAAAGCTGTTCCCCAGCTCTGGGCCTTCTTGCAACCTGTTTTTGCTCTGACAAATTTAATTTATCCTCATAAACTAGTGTTCTAAATTTCTTATTAAG